TTCATCTGCTAATGTCATTTCTTTGCCTGGGCAATAGACCGTGGTCATGTCGTAATCTTGTAGCCGTAATATATATTCGCTGCAGATGATGCGTAGCTGCAATCATGATATTCAGGTCCATTATCTCTAGTAATTTATGATCGCTTTCAATACTTGGAAAGCATACTCGTAGATTTAGGTTCCAAAATATTCTAAAAATGTCGAACACAGGTGAATGGGAGTTTTGTGTTCTATATTAGCATACCGTTGTTATGTTTCCATCAGAGATTTCGACACAAATGCTATGGGACTTCCATCTTATAGAAGAGCTGCACCAAGGTCTCTGTTGGCTGCATCGATCTGGATTAAAAATATTTTTCAGGGTCAAAATAAGTCAATAGCATTTTTTTGCAAATCAGGTCTTTGATTTGTTAAAAGGACTTTTGTTGACTTTTAAGTTCACCTGTATTCTGTTTCTTTTTAGTAGATATCTCATAGGTAATGTGAGATCAGAAAGAGCAGGGATAAACGTTACAATATATCTGATTATTCATTCACTTTCTGTAAGTCTGTAACATTTGTCGGGCTGGGATTTTTTATTTCATACTGGGATCACGGCGTGCTCCGCTCTCGCCATAGATGGATCCAATGAAATGTATTTCCTTCTGGTTGAACAGATTTATTTTCACTGCTGAACCTGAGCCCTATGATATGTGCTATCTTCATTAATTTCCCAGATTTTAGTCGTGTTTCTCTTTAGTTTTGCCATCTACTACGTCATCATCGATTAAAATTTAGTGTCCAAGGGAATTTCTCCATTATCATGTCCATTTTGCTGGAATACATCTTTTGGGACATTACCAAGATAAAAGGCATTCTCTGGAATCAATATCTTACAAAGGGAGAGTTGAAAGTGGTCAGTAGCTGTGATTCATAATCGAGTGTGATTGATCAATGTAACAATACCCTCTCACACAAATACTTAGGAGATAATTAGGTAAATTCCTTTTCCTTTTAAGTCCACTTAATTAGCTGAGTTTCTGAGGATTTTCTTCTTTATTCCATCTTTGAGTCAAGTTAATTAAAAGCTTTCAGGATTCCTGTCTCCAGCCCACCTTTGAATTGACAAACATAAAATTTTGTTAATGATTTTAGATAATTTAATGAAGGGACCGGCAGTCAGAGAGAAGGAAGGGACCACATCCATGAGGAATCAGGAGTTGCCTAGACAGCCAGTGAAACAGGTCTCTTTCCCTGGCCGGAAGTTAGTAAAAAAGCAGACATTCCCCATCCCATTTCAAGTAAGAATACTACGGTTAAGTAAGAAATCGTATTGTTGCTAAATATTTTCAACCAGTGTCTTGAAAAATAATTTGTCGTTATTTTTGTAGAATACGATCACGGCCATGGAGACAGACCTGTGAATTTAGTTTAAAAGGTGTATATACGATTACAACCGACCTTCGATGTCATCACGGGTTGTGCAGTGAACGACGTGCGGATTACGTCGTCACACCAGTATCTGATTTTGGTTTCCACCTTGGAAAAGTGTTGGAACCATAGAGTTTGTGTGAAAGCCCCTCCATTGTGAGCGTTTTATGGTGACATCGCATGGCAGTGAATGTTTAGATCGTTGGGATCTAAGCAAAACAAAGAAGTTTTCCATTGCCTTTGCGGACATACACTAGGCTGTTAACCCATTCTGAAGGTTCGCATTGCGAAATGAAACCATGTTTAACCATGTCATCTAAAAATGGTCTTGATCTCATTCCTCAGAATGGATCGGACATTTCTTAGATGCGTGGATTATAGGATGGTTGTCATGTTTTAGAAAAATGTAGTATTCACAAGGCAAATTGCCTGTGCAGTCAAACTGATTTGAGTACATGTTTATATTAGGTCTTTTGGCGGAATTGATTTGAGCTGGAGTTTTTTTTAATGTCGCAATGCAGCGTTACCAGCCCCAGATCTCTGAGCGAAAAGAGTCCAAGTATAGTAGGTTCCTCTGGGGTCACCACATATAATTTCAGTATTTTCCACTTCCCTTTAATTTTAATGGACCTATGTTGAGTAATGCTGGATCCATTATATGCAGTCAGTACAGCTGAAAACCACATGTTGCACCAGGGAGTGGCCGCCCAGAAGGGCAATTTTTTCAGAAAACATCTTATGGAACCTAACAAAAGCTCCTTTAGCAGACTTGGCCTATTATTTATAGGTGCCTTGTAGGTTGGAAAGCCTGCAATGAAGAAATGCAAAAGCATTTGCTTGAAACGTTTATATAACACGTCGCCATCATCCTGGCAAGACATTTTTGAAGAAGGCACAATTACATGCGTTTCCTATCTTGGTGCCTAAATGGATGACTTTTCTGTAGGAGAGAGGCCCAGGTTTAATTTTTTGGGCTCTTTTTCGTCGTGTGCGTTTGTCTGTGTCTTTCTATGTCTTTTTGTCGTTACATACTTTTGCTCAGTGATTTTTCTGTCCTCATGAAAAGCCTGATATTTACACAGGACAGATTTTTTGTCGGGAGGACAGATGCCGCATCGCTCACAACCCACCGAATTGCATTGATTTCCTGGATCTTTCCTTCAAGGATTTAGGAGTCGCTTCAAATGGTGTAAAGAAACCCAGTGGTTTTTGGACAGATATTCAGGACTTCTTGAAATATAAGCCATTGGCTAAAAATAAATAATGTTGGTTTCAAATCAGATTAATTTGTCTTTAAACAGGACTAATTTTACTCAAATAACGTGCCAAAATATACATATTATTTTTTAAGAGTTTTAAAACCGATAAAATCCAACGTTTGCGGAACAAGGTAAACTATGGAGATAACAAAAAGAACCGCTTGTTTTTTAGGGCTATATTGGACGGAAGAGACTTTTTTAAAACTAGGGCACCTAATGAGAAAAGAGGGCTTCTAATTTTGGGTATGGGTGGGAACAGATTTAAAAAATAGTGGGGACGCGTAAACCCATGACAAGGTGTATGTGAATTTGTAGCATTTGCAATTAATAATATAACATGAGTTATTCACCTTTAAGAAAAAATTAAAATTTTTTAAGAGAAAATATTTTTTATCTGAACTCACAGAAACGATTTCAGTTCATGAAATAAAAGTTCAATCTCCATGAAAGAAATATTCTTCGATAAAAAAAAAGTGTTATAATCTGGAAGGGTTCGTACGAGAAACTTTGTAGACTCGTCTTTTTCCTACCTATCACCCTAGTAACAGAACAGTCTATATCTTACGCCTACGTACGGAAAACTTCAACCAATAAAAACCGTACTAGGCGAATCAAAAAATCTCATTGGTTAACGACACAATAATCTGAAAGTTCACGTGCAAAACGAAATTGCGCCAAAACTTAAGTGAGCCGACTTCGGACTTTCAGAACTTATAAACGAAAACGCCTGACCGCCCCAGGCAGTCTGAGAAACACCCACAGAGAAGTTGCCAAAATACTCCACGTCACTCGAAATCACGATTTTACCGCGCAAAGATACATCAATCGCTGACTCATTTGCAATTTAAACTTAACCAACTCTGTGGACATCGAATTCGAACCATTGCTTATCCAAAGTGAATTATATTCACTACCTATTAAGTAAATATCAACGTGCGAACGACCTTAAAAAAAAAAATTATTACAGTTAAAGGTAGAACACTCTTTAAAAACTCCTACCAAAAAAAGACACTTAATATCGACAATTTAATATCAACACAAATTAAAAAGACTGTAAATGAACAAACAATTACAAAGAGAGACATACTGAAACCAAAAAAAACATCATACAAATTTTGCCATAATAACATATATCAATTATCCTGTTTGTATATTGTTTTGAATTGTATATAAATGTTTTATTAGTTTCTAAATTGAATATGTCTTGTTCTTAATCGTATTTTTATTTCGTTTATTTATTTGTTTGTGGATGCAGAAAGTCACGCAACCTACACAAATTCCTTCTGATTCTTTCAAGCATAATTAAAAAATTCTGCACGTCCCCAACAAAATTGGCGACCCCGACGTTCCAACAAAAATTGATGACCCCGACGTTCGATGTTCAGCGTTACCAATAAAATTGTCGATCCCGACGTTCCAACAAAAATTGATAACCTCGACGTGCTACCAACAAATTTGACTACCCCGACGTTCATGTAAAAAAAAAAAAAAACTGGTGACCAACACAACTGGTAACCACCGACGTGCGAAACCCGAACAAAAAAATTGGCGATTCAGACGGGTGAATCGTTGAAGAAATCAAAATTGGCATCCCGACGTACAAAAGCAGAATTAGTGACGACTCCAACGCGCGGGAAGAAATTAAATCGACACGTGTTGTCTTCGAAACAGCAGACCAAAGATCCAGAAACAAAACTCCGACTGCATAAATGGCTGATCCAGTTCCTCTCACAGAAACGGCAATCAGACTCAAAATGCCTGCTTTCAACTCAAACGTTCAGACGTGGTTCTTACAACTGGACGCGATATTCCAGGCCAGGCACATAACTTCGCAGCAATCAAAATTTGCGTCCGTGGTAGAGAAACTACCCGCGGAGGTAGCGGCTGAAGTAGCCGACATATTAACCTCTCTACCAATAGACAAGGAGACCCTTAAATAAGCAATACTACACCGATCTGGTTTTTCGGAGGAAAGAAAAATAAGAGACCTCTTAACAAACGTTACAATTGGAGATTCGAAACCGTCTCAATTATTACGACGCATGCAACAACTGTTGGGCGACAACAACATATCAGCCACAGTATTCCGCCAAATGTGGCTGGACAAATTACCATCAGACATGGTACGAATCTTGGCTGCATTAACAGACGACGTTGATATACAAAAATTGGCAACGATAGCGGACAAAATAGCCGATACTACCCCGATACGACAGATTTCGTCAACGGAGACCGTGGATGGCCTTGTGCCAGATGTCAACCAACAGATTCCAAAATTGTCTTCAGAATTGCAAGAAATATCTCTACAATTGCGTGATTTACAAAAACCACATGAAAGTCGGCGTGATAATTTTACGCGACACAGTAACCGTGGTTCAAGATCGACGTCTCGGCATAAATACCAACAACGCCGTGATCGTTACCAACATGCCAATTGCTGGTACCACGAAAATTTTGGCGCGCGCGCGAAGAAATGCCGACCACCATGTTCGTATAAAAAGTCATTTCCAAACAAACAAGCGGGAAACGGACCCGCTGGACCCAGTAGAGACGTTGGATGCCAGACATTTAAAAACTAATCGTCTCTTTTACATCCACGACAGAGCGAGCGGCTTAAAATTTTTAGTTGACACCGGTGCCCAACTAAGTGTCCTGCCTCTCAAAAACTGCAGCAAACAGACTCTGGTTAAGCGTACATCTTTCAAATTACAGGCGGCTAATGGCACTCCGATCACCACTTACGGCGATCGAACCCTAACGCTAGACATCGGCCTTAGACGAGAATTTACGCGGACTTTTACTATCGCGGATGTCGCAATGCCGATATTAGGAGCGGACTTTCTAACCCATTACAAATTATCGGTTGAGTTGGCGTCACAAACTTTAACTGACACTAGCACTAATCTACAACGTTGCGGTTTCATTTCCAAGTATTCGACAATCGGTCTGACGACTGTTATACCTACAGCCAATGGCTACGACGAGATAATACGTCAGTACCAATCGCTACTGTCACCGTCAACACATAATGAACCTGTGAAACACCACGCCACTCAGAGTATTAAGACCACAGGACCTCCAGATCATTCTCAACTTCGCAGACTCCATCCGAGTAAACTAAAAATAGCTCGTGACGAATTTGACAACATGCTCAAACTTGGTGTAATCCGTCCTTCAGCCGGTCCTTATGCCAGCCCTCTACATATAGTTGTTAAAGCTGACTCAGCTAGTTGGCGTCCGTACGGCGACTACAGGTTACTAAACGCGCAGAACGTTCCGGACAAATACCCAATCGCACATATTAAAGATTTCGCCCTTTCGTTGGAAGGTGCTAAAGTATTCACCAAACTCGATCTTAAAAAGGCATATTAACAGATTCCCATCGAAAAAAATGACATTCCGAAAACTGCTATTACAACGCCTCTCGGACTCTTCGAATTTACGAGAATGCCCTTTGGATTGCGTAACGCGGCGCAGTCTTTCCAGAGGCTAATAGACGAAGTCCTACGCGGAATGCCTTACACATATTCTTATATAGATGACGTTCTCATAGCAAGCAAATCTCATGCAGAACACCATGAACATCTGCACACAGTTCTCAAAAGATTACAACACTACGGGTTAAAACTAAATATTGATAAGTGTGTTTTCGCAGTACCCAGTTTGACTTTCCTCGGGCATATTTTAGACCAGCATGGATTGTCTCCCTTGGATTAGAAAATTACAGCGATCGCTAATTACCCACCACCTTCCACATTGAAGCAATTGAGGAGATTTTGGGGGATAGTTTACTATTATCGACAGTTCATCCCAAATTGTGCGTCAATTTTATTACCACTGACGAATATCTTGTCTCTGCATAAGAAAAAAAATTCGCAGATATCACTATCACAAGATGAGCTACGATCATTTCAAAATACAAAAGATGCACTACAGAACTGTACCAAACTAACATTAATTCATCGGAGAAAGCTAACCTCACCTTAACGACAGATGCATCAGCTGACACAATTGGCGCTGTGTTGCACCAAATTACTGATGGCATCGAAACACCTTTGTCTTTTTTCTCATTAAAGCTAAATGCTACACAGAAGAAATATAGTACTTTTTCAAGAGAATTACTTGCTGTTTATTTGGCAATACGGCATTATCGACACATCCTTGAGGGTAGAGACTTTATCATTCTCACAGATCATAAACCGTTAACGTATGCACTGCACGCGAAGTCCGATAAACTAAACCCGAGAGATATTCGCTACCCGGATTACATCAGTCAATTTACATCGGACATTCGATTCGTAAAAGGACAACATAATACTGTTGCAGATGCATCATCGAGATCTACACTTGACGTGATACAATCATCTGCACTCGAATTCGACACACTTGCTGAAGAACAGTTGAGTGACGACACACTCCCTTCAGTGCAGGCAGATACCTCTCTGAAATTAGAAAGACGTCCACTAGCTTTCAACGACAAGCTTGTTTATTGTGATACTTCAACAGGCAACCCTCGACCCTACCTACCTCCGTCGATGAGAAAAATGGTTTTCGACCACTTTCATTCACCAGCTCACCCTGGAGCGAAGGCTACGCTCCGGACCATATCTGACAGATTCGTCTGGCCCGGTATGGCTTCCGACGTGAAACAGTGGTCCCGCACGTGCCAGCGTTGCCAGGCAACAAAGATAAGTCGTCATACGAAAGCACCATCGTCAACCTTTGCGGCCCCTGATGTTCGTTTTACTCATATACACGCCAACTTTGTAGGTCCGCTTGACAGGATCAATGGATACGAATATATCCTGACTATCGTAGATCGCTTCACACGATGGCCGGTGGCCGTACCGTTATCAACGATAACAGCAGAAGTGGTGGCCAACGCTATCTTTCAGAATTGGATTTCAATATTTGGATGCCCTGCGGTTATTACTACCGACAGAGGACCTCAATTCCAGTCGACTTTATTTACTGAGTTCGTCAATTTGCTTGGAATTAAACACATTTCTACTACGGCATATCATCCCTGCAGCAACGGATTAGTACAACGTTTTCATCGACAGCTCAAGTACGCATTAACAGCGTCTATCAGTGCTTGTACGTGGGTAGACAAACTACCATTTGTGATGCTTGCGCTACGAAATACAATCAAACTAGATCTGAAATGTACTAGTGCGGAGTTGGTATTCGGGAAACCAACAACCCTTCCAGGACAAATTTTTTACAATGTTACGGATTCTACTCCTACCAGTTATTTTGTGTCCGATCTTAAACAAAAAATGACGGAAATAATATATACGCTCACACGGGTTTACAAGAAACCATATTACGTGCCAACAGACTTAAATTCCTCAGAATATGTTTTCCTGCGTCGTGACGCAGTTCGAAAACGTCTAACACCGAACTATACTGGACCACATCTGGTAATCTCCAGAACACCTAAATATTTCGTAATAGACGTTGCTGGTAAACAAAATACTGTCAGCATAGACAGACTCAAACCAGCATACGTACAGTGTGATGACGTCATTCAAACACCACCAAACCCAACAAAATCAGAGCAATCAAATACACACACGACTACTAAAGACATGTCTCCATCAACCCAGTCTACCCGTACGAAATCAGGCAGACATGTTCATTGGCCAGCTAAGTTTCGCACATACATTACATATTAATGCCAATTAACAATAGCCATTAATCTAGGGGGAGGTATTGTAGACTCATCCTTTTTTCCTTACGTTTCAACACTAGCAACAGAACAGTCTATATCTTACGCCTACGTACGGAAAACTTCAACCAATTAAAACTTCACTAAGCGAAACAAACAATCTCATTGGTTCATCACTGAAAGTTCACGTGCAGAACGAAATTGTGCCAAAACTCAAGTGAGCCACCTTCGGACTTATAAAAATAAACGCTGGCCGCCCCAGGCAGTCAGTAAGAAACACTCACAGAGAACTTGCCATAATACACCACGTCACTCGAAATCACGATTAACCGCGCAAAGATACATCATCGCTGACTCATTCCCGATCGAAAACTGAATCAACTCTGTGGATATCAATTCTCAACATTGCTTATCTAAAGTGAATTATATTCGCTACCTATTAATTAAACATCAACGTGCGAACGACCTTAAAAAAAAACATTACATTACAGTTAAAGGTAGATCTCTCTTAAAAACTCCTTCTAAAAAAGACACTTAATATCGACAATTACTAATATCAACACAAACTTAAAATGACTGTAAATGAACGAACAATTACAAAGAGAGACAATCTGAAATCAAAAAAACCTCATATACATTTCGCCAACATAACATATATCAATTATCCTGTTTGTATATTGTTTTTGAATTGTATATAAATGTTTTATTAATTTCTAATTGAATATGTCTCGTTCTTTCGTTTATTTATTTGTTGGGGATGCAGAAAGTCACGCAACCTACACAAATTCCTTCTGATTCTTTCAAGCATAATTAAAAAATTCTGCACGTCCCCAACAAATGCATAACCCACCTAACGAGCTTGAGTAAATGGATGGCGGTACAAAGTTTAGGAGAGATAATAAAAAAGATCAAATTTATTAAGGGCTATATTGGACGGGAAGAGACGGTTGAGATTTCTAGGGCACATAATGAGGAAAGAGGGCTTGGAAAATTTGATACTGAAAGGACAATTTTTAAGACAAGAGGGACAGAGGAAAACAACGCATAACCCACCTAGCGAGCTTGAGTAAATGGATGGCGGACAGTGTTTAGGAGAAATAACAGAAAGACACAGTTTATTAACAAGTATAAAGGACAGGAAGTTGTGAAGAGCCATGATCGCCTACGTCCTGAGGGGACGCGGCACATAAAGAAGAAGAATAACTGACGCGTAAACGTCAATCGAAAGCGTAATTGCTTATCCTTACGTCATCTTTCTTTGTTTTGCAGTCTGTGTCGTATGAAAAGACCAGCAAATTTCTCACCGAGACAAGCTCATCACTTCACTTGTCATATTCGATAGAGGCCTCTGCAATCGGTTGTCAGATTTAAAAGTCCGTTGTCATGTGAACAGCAATTGCCGACATCTCAATTTATGTATTTATTCGCGATTTGGTGCCAATGTTTTGTCGCTTAACTTACAAATGACACCAATAATGTGAATGGTCGTTGATTTTATTTAACACTCATTTCTTTTCTTTGCACGCGAATGCATATTTTGTTTAATTTCATGATCTTTTAAACACACACACACACACACACACACACACACACACACACACACACATATATATATATATATAATTATTTATTTAAAAATATGATTCCAAATTGCTACATAAGAGGTCTCATGTTTCAAAACAAGAGCCAAAAACTTCAATATCATCCTTTAAAGTTGAAAGTAAAATGGGCTCCGTTCCATCTTCAAGCGAAATTTTTGTTGGAATAACGTATATCTGAAATTTACTTGTTTTAAAATTGAAATCAAAATCCCCATGGTAACAGCTAGGGTGAATTGTCTAAATTGGGTAGACGAGTGTAGGGTGTTTATAATAAGTAGCGGTATAGAGATACTTTCAAGGTGTCAAGTCGGGGAAAGGTGGGGGTGTCAAAAATGAAACGGAAGATGTATTGGCCATCGTCTAGTTTGCTTGTCTATGGAGATTTATTTATTTATTTTATTTTATTTTATTATGAAAGGGAATTGTGCATATAAAAAAAGAAAAACTTTCGTAACGTTTGTTTTTTGACGACTTCATAAAGGGTTATCTTTTATGTAAGGTATTTAAACTACTAACTTGGGCTATGGATTATGAAGGGTGTTATGTTGTATGCATGTTTGTAGTTAATTATTCCTACTATGAACCTGATGATTGGGCTATTTGTTAAACAAGTTATATAAAAATTTTTATCTAATAATTCAAACCAAAAATCTGATGATGCCTACAAAAAACCGTAAACTCGTGTCTATTATTTAATAGATTATTATTATTTAGAAGTTTAATAATGTGCAATTTTTCATGGAGGCACAAAGGGCATGGGTCATCCCAAGCTTTACATATTCTAGCCTTGTCAATAATTTTCCATTTAACTTTTGGTGTCTTATTTGTTTCCTTCAGGTGCCAAAAATATTTTGATAGTGAAGTCTGATTTTGTTTGTTTATATTATTAA